GAGATGAAAGGGACACAGAATATCTGTGGCAATTTCCTTGACGGCACCAAACTTTTAATGAAAAAAAATCACTCTGGGCTTCCCACGTTTGACCACTGAGTCAAACCATTACTGTATTTGGCACAATAAATTGTGGCTCCACTTGTCCACTGAGTTTGGCTGAACTGGATCTGTTGCTGTTGTTGACATCTTCCTCCGTTGGAGGAATGAGTCCACTTGAGAGCCATGCCCTGTGTAACTTCTGTGGCTGGGATGTCTCCCCTGCAGAACCACAGTGTCCTGGAAGTGCTGCTGTCCCACTTCTACCAGGGACTCAACTCGGGAGCCCCCTTTCCAGCATCCTCTGCTGCACAGTGTGTCCCAGGGCAGGAGCTGTGACTGCAGGGGTGGGTGTTCATGTGTGCTCACTGTGCACATGTGGGTGCTCCCACGGTGTTTATGATGCTGCTACCTTTCACAGGGACTGAATGCTCTCAGCTAGAAAGCTTGGGGTTTAGTTTCAGTGCTGTGTAGGCTTTGAGAAGGCTCAGAGTTAAGTAGGCAGTAGCTAATAAATTTAAGGGCTTTCTTTTACTCCTCCCAAAAACTTCCCTCTTTCTGGTCTCACAGACATAAGGCTTCTCTTATCCCTTGTGGTTATATGGCTTCTACTATTTGCAGCATTAAAGGAAGTACTTGATGTGCTCAGAGCAACTGAATTCTGCCACCTCTTTTGTAATACGATATTCCCATATTGCTCCATGCAGTTCAGCTACCTATTGCTGAAAGTAGAGTATTGCTTAATTAGGGGAAGGTTGGCAGCATCTGGTTTTATGCCACTTGGAAAAAAGTTGCATCTTTTTGCCTTTTCCTCCTGCTTTTTTCCCCTTCTGCCTCTCCCTCAGGGTAAAGTAAACCCAGCTGCTCACCTGGGGAGAGAACACACTCCTCATTCTGCCCATGCCAAGTTGGGGCTCTTAAATGGGTTTTCTCTGAGCAGAAATACATAAATAGGTCAGGGAAAACAGAAATGCATACTTTGGCATAAGATAGAAGGGCAGTTTGAGGAAATAGTCTGATTTCTCCCTTTTTTATTATCTTGGAGATAATTTCAGGAGTTTGTCAACGTGACTTCAGCATTTCGGAGCTTTAATTGCTACAGCCTTCAAAAGTTACCTTCAAAAATCTCTCAAACATCTTGCCCCTAAAGGTTAAGTCAAAAGCTGAGGCTGTTAAGATGGAGGCTCTCCCATAAGGCTTTTTGCTGCAGACCCAAAGCAGCCAACACGTGTTTTCTGGGCAGTTTGTGGGACCAAAGGTCTCCAAACACAGCAGCTTCTGCAGCAAGCAGCCCTGTGCTGCTTCTCCAAACACAGACTGAGAAACCTTCTTTTCTCTGCTGTTTTACTCATTAGTAGCAGCTGGGCTCATGTTTTTGAGTGGCTGTTGGTAGGTGACCAAATTGATCCAGACTGGTGGCATTTGGAGCAGTGCTGGCATTTTGAGGAGCATCGCTGTAGACAGTGCAACAGGCTCTTGGGTTACTCTGTGACTGAGAGACTGAACTTTGAAACAGTCAGTACCATGGTACCCCTTGAGCAAACATCTCATTGTTGGTTGTGGTAGTGTCATTAATTTTTGGGAGGGTTTTTTGGAGGGGGGCAAAATTTTGATAAAAAGTTTTATACTCTAAGGTTCTTTTGTTGGGTCATTGGGCTCAAGCTGGTAAATCCAAGGCAGCTGTAAAAGCAGCCACCTTTGTTATTGCTCATAAGAGACAGCTCCCAGAATCAGAAGTCTTGTCCTGGATGAAACTGCTTGGAGTAACCTGAATTAAGTTTTAGATCAAGTAAATGAACTAGTTTCACTTCAGGGAGACTGTCAGCATGAAGAGCTGTGAAAGAGGGAGTAACATCAGCTGTGATTCTGGGTGGGGGTGAGTCACAGTGAGCTCCCAGGAGCAGCTCTCTAGGAGAAGCAGTTCTGGCTGAGGGCTTAAGGTACAGTTTCTGAGTTTAGTTTCCAATGGGCTCAGGTCTGTAATAGATTCAAATGCTTATTTTCATTAGAAAGAACATCTGTTGTTCCTGCTGCTCTCCTGCAACTATTCCTGGACTTGTAGCAAAGTGTGTGGGTAGTGGCCTCCAGATGTTAGAAGTGGCTCTGTGTAGGGCCTGATTCTGCCTTGTTGTAGGAATTGCTGTTTGAAGGGACTGTAATTGCAGTAGTAATTAGATAAGGGACGAGTTTGACAGAGACAGAAGCAGACTTATTCGTTGGTAAATGAAACTTCAGCTTTCAAAGCATATCTGTCCTGTTAGTGAAGGAAGAAGTGGGGATGAAGTAAACACAGGTGGCTGGTGTAACTGGGATGGCTGTCCCTTTGCCACCTGTCCTTTTACCTCCTGATACGGTGGAGATGTGTTCTGCAGTGTCACCAGATGGAGCATTTCTGTGCAGTGCTCAGGACCATGAGAAGGTCACTGTCCCAGTAGCTTCCTGGTCAAAGGGCTCGTTCTTCAGGGTTGTCATTGCTTGACTTGGACGTGCATCACCTTCACTGGAGGGGAAACAAGAAGCGTTTCTGTCATTAGGCACAGGCTTTTTAGAATTAGGGCACATTAAGCTGTTCTCTGGTTAGGAAGAAAGAAGCCTCAGTTTACCACTAACAAGTTTTAATGATGCCCTCCCGGCGTTCTCAGAGTATGGGGCAGGAGATGAAAAACAATTGCTGCTTAAATAGAGATCCTGCTTATCCCCGCTGAAGCCATGGGACCTTTGCCTTTTAAAATGTCACAACATCTGCTTGCAGATTGGAGGACATGAACTTGACTGTCCTTTTTGTGCCACCAGTTGGCGAAAAGGAAACACAGTGAAGCTGCATTTACTGGTCTTATCCTTGCTCCTCTGCTGCGGCTCCTTGGCGCTGCTGATCGGGGCTGGAGGAGCAGAGGTCACAGTGGGAAGAGCCTGAACTAAATTTGAGAGTTTACGTTTCCTGACTCAGACTGATATTTGGAGATAAAAGGACAGCTCTAGGGATCTCCTGCCCAGCTGCCTCCTGACAACTTGCCTCTTTCTCTTTGCAAGAAGAAAATGTTAATGCAGTTGGGTGTGTTGATGCTCCGTTTGGCAGAACCTATAACAGGACGGAAGCCGAGCTGGCTGGAATGTGTTCTCCTGAAAAGCCCAGAACATGATGTTGTCTGCAAGTCTGTAGAGCAGAGGCTGTATTTGGACTAAGTTTGTTATGTCAGTACCCTGCATTCCCTTACACTCCATGCTCCTTTTCTGCATAAGCTGTCATGTGAAGCCATAGAAAGGTTTATATACAAAAATTGGCATATATGCCTGATTCCTGCTGCCTAATGCTTTGTAGGAGAAGTTGTGGATCTGTAGCAGCACAGGGATTGTGGGACCTTGCAGAGGTCAGAGGCAGTGGGTGAGGTGGAGTCCAGGGTAGCTGCTGGAGCAGCTGTGTCAGCAGACTTGGCTCAGCTTTGGGTCAGACACAGTGACAGTGTTCAGCAGCAGCAGCAGCAGGTTTCCATGCTTGGTGTCCTTTGACTTTTCTGGTAAGATGGTGGGTTTTGATGGGTGAGATGACATTTAAGTTCCCTTCTTCAGATGCTACAGTATATGTAAGCATCTTTCCCAAGGCAAGGAAAGCTCCCATTTTACTGTCCTTAGCATTCCTTGTTCTTACAGATCCCCAGTAGTCCTGCTTTAGTGTCTCCTTGGTGTTCCTGAGTGTCTACCCATCCGTTGGCTTCCCCTACATGAAGTCAGCTGAAGCAGATTTCTGCTTATGTATCTCCTCAGTGGACTTGTCAAATATTTTATTGTATTCTGTCACTATAGCATGAACAGTTCTTGTATGGGAAGGGGCATCAGTATTAACAGCCTTTGTGAAACAGATTTTGAGACTGTCTAGTATCAAAATGAAGTGGTGTAATGAGCAGGACAACCAAACCCCTGCCTCCTTTGAGCATGTGATGCAATGGTAGGTGCTGGTTCCTGTCACCACCAGACATCAGAGCCATTTGTTTAGTTTGTTTCTTACTTATGGTTTTAATACATCCATCAGATGACTGGCTGGGTTTAGCTTTGTTTGTGGTGGCATCTGTACAAAAGTAAAATAACTGCCAGTGAGATATTTTGTTGTGTTAATAGGATATTGAATTATGTTTTATTCTCTGGGGAAAAGAATTGCTCTCTGAACTCGAAACAGCGGTTTTTTGGTGCTTGTTCAGTAGGTGTCCAGCAGTAAAGACTGGGGCTTTCTGTGTGTGAAAGCTTCTATTCCTCTTGAGAGCAGAGATAAAATGCCTTCAACTGATGCAGTCAGACCAGGCATGTGAAGTACAGCACCCTTAAGAAACATGAAAGCTGCTTATGAGTGTGTTTATATGAAGTTTAATAAATTCCACACGGTTTGCTGGCCTTGGCACATACGCTGGGGTCATTTCTGACATACTTCAATTCAGTCCCCACCCAATGTCATCTTAATAAGCCAGCTGGGAGGTAGAGAGACTAACTTGGAAAACTCCAAAGTTGCCAGTAGAATAACAGTTCTGCTTTGTAGCAGCTCTTTGGAAAGCTAGAAATAAATGCCTTGAAACGGTGGGATTTACTGAAGTGTGGGGAGAGGGGGATGTTAATTGTGTTTACAGGTAAACAATGCATCTGAATTGTTGAAGAGCTTACAATAAAAGTAGTGACATCCATCCTGGCTGCATTACAACTTGGGTAATAGCTCCCAGTTGCAATGGTATTTCATTAAAAAATACAGTTCTTATAGAAAAGAACAAAACAGCAAGAATTTTAACAAGTAGTTAAGTTTGGGTGACTTTCAACATAAAAATAGCTGGATGAGTATTATTCCATAAACTAGAAGGGTATTTAACTGTAAGACATAAAGCATGTAGTATAGTGATAGAGATTCTAATATGTAATGGCTTTGTCATTGCTGTTTAGATTAATTCAATATTTCTTTTCTCTCTCTCTTCCCTCACATCTAGCAAAACTGTACAATCTAAAGTGGACTGCATTTTGGTAAGTACAACTCCAGAATGGTTTTCAATATTTAATAAACTGCAAGACCAAAATAGGTGGCTCTAGAGACTAACAGCTATTATGAAGCCTTTCCTTAGCAGTGCTTTCAGGTACTGACACTAAATGCAATCACAGTTAGTTGCCATTGCAAAAAAAAATACATGATGTGGGTTTGATGTTTGTTTTCCATGGAATATTGACCTCCTGTTTCCAGCAGCAAGTGGCTGTGACTGCCCTTTGTAGAACTGTCAGTATAGGTGGTATGGCACGGAAGGGTGACTGAGTGTTTTTGTAAGCAGGATTTTATTAAATGTAGGATTATGTATTGCCCAGATCAGACTATGCAAGAAACTTATTTTGCCTTCAAGTTCCACTGCTCTTTAGGCCTTTAATGACAATGATAATTGCTTTTATTGTTGTTTCCTTGGAACAGCTAATTCATGACCAGCATTACATTTTAAGGAAGGAACTAGATTGAAGTGCATATTTGCACAAAACCTGGCAGACAAATGTCACGTTTTTTTCCTGGTCTGTGAAAATCATCAGATTTTTGCTCGGTTTGGTTTTGGTTTTCTTTAAAGTCTTGCTAACCTCAAAAGTTGCATACCTTCCCAGAAATGTGCAACACTGCAGGTCCTGTTAGCTCTGCTGTACTGCTTAGGACAGAGAGATCATTTTTTGAAGAAGGAAAAGCCTTTGAAATGCAAAAACATTGTCTTCCTTTGTGCATTAAAATAACAAGATCTAGGCAGTGATAAGAGATTATTTCTGGGGAGCACTAACTCAGAAAGAGATTTTGTTTGTTTTTAATAGTGAGCAGGTTGGGAGTTTCTTTAAATCAGAGTCTTGAGCTCATAAATCTTAAAACTGGAAGGGAGTGCTTATCTTGACTTTCTACCTTCAGCATTTCATCCAGAAGTACCAGTGGGTAAGATAAAAGGACGACATAGACAACCATCTGGACTCTGTCAAATAGAATCTGTCCAGCTATATGGCTGAGCTGACTAAGGGTACTCCTTAAAGTCACATTATCAAAGGCTAATTCAAATGGCACTGGATTCTCTTGCCTTAAAATATTTTTGTTGTTGTATGAGGCTTAAAGTTGTGTTGTATTGCAAAAAAACTTGGGACTCCATTTTACCTCTTTTTAAATGTTTTGGATGCACCCAACTGAAATAGCAATGCAAAATGACATTTTTGTCCACTTTATTCCTCATTGATGTTTGTGGATACAAAGCAAGCATGTTAAGGTCTTCACTGTTTTGTATGTGAGTCTTCAGTGGCAAAAGGGCAAATTGCAAAATTGCACTTGTAAAACTCTTAACACCAGATATTTCTGTGGAGAAAAAATGGAAGTTGGGGTAGGTGTTTCTGAGTATCATTGGAGAAGAGAGTAAAAAAGTAGGAGGTTAACCAGTCATCTGCTTTTGGAAATCCATTTTAAGAAAATTGAATTAAACTAGTACTATTTTTGCATTAAATTCTGCAGTTGGTGGACTTTGTGTACTGAGGTAGGGATTATCAGTTTGTATGAAGGTCAGGTCTCACCCACTGGATTGACAAAGAAGTCTTGGATGCAAAGCAGTCTCCATGGCTTGACCTGGAACAGAGCAGCAGTGTCCTGATGGTCTGATTTTTTGTTCCAGATACCTCCTTGTCTGTCCTGCTGATGAGTTCAGAGGAATCGTGTCAACAGTGGAAAAGCCACTCTAGGTTAGCAAAGGTAGATTTAATGCTGTTCAGGTAGTTTAAAAAAGAAAAATCCAAGATCAGAATAGTTTAAGGAAATGAATCAAAATTAAGCTGAATTGTGGCAAAATGGGTTCTGTGTTTTGATGTGCTGTTGGAAAGCTGTGAGCTGCAAGGCAGAATCTGAGAGCACAGTAAACTGAAAGGCCATGGCTTTATAGCTCTGAATGACTGGTTTGGTAGCACCAGTCACAGCCACAGCCTGCAGAGCCACACACTAATGTTTAGGGCTGCCTAGTTCAACACAGTTCAGTGAGAAAGAGAGAAGTGGGAAGAAGAAGCAGAGGTGATGGCAGTAGTCTGTTGTGGAGGTCTCCAGTAGCAGAGGGCTGTGGAAAGCAGCCACTGTAAGGGCACTGGGACTGCAATTGCTCATGCAAGAGTCCAGAGTTATCTGCCTCTTCCATGTGATACTGCACCACTTACATTCTGACACACTGTCATTTTCTGGAAGATCATAAGAAAATCATTGTATACTGTGCAATCCAAAAAAAGATAATTAGCAAGAATTGTGGTGTAAACAGTCATTAAAAATTCATTATAACATCTTTTTAACTGTAGTAAACATGTCTAGCAGTAGATTCTCTTATGACTTTGCTTGTTATATTTGTAGCCACATACTAAATGAACTTTTGAACCTGATTTTTAAAATGGTATCCTCCATATAATCACTCAGCAAGACAGTCAAGGTTTCTTTCCTTAATCCTCTGAGAAGAGGTCAGTGCTGGTGAGAATGATGGATCAATGGCCATGAAAACCAGAGCTGCTGATATCTGGAGCAGCAGCAGTGTGTGAGGTGTGAGAGGGTGTCAGTCCTGCAGAGGAGGTGCCACTTGTCTGTTGGGCCCTACAGGACACAGGCAGAAGCTCTGTGAAGCTTTGGCAGCTGTGCTTGGCCACTGTCACAACAAAGCTGCCATGTGCTTTTAGGGCTTGTTTGGAATGTTTAGCACCTGAAATATGCTCCTGCTTCTGTTCAGATAAAGCACATCAAATGTATTTATTAGCTGCTTTCTAGAATAATGGGTTCTGTTTCCAGTATTACTATATTATATGTCTGTCTTGATGATATTTCCAACAAACCATCTGACCTTGAGCAACTTACTTAAGCTTTGCTTCTTATTTCTCTATTCATAAAGTGGAGAGATGATTGCTTGACTGCTTTGCTATTTTTAGTTCTGGTTGTTAAATAATAGATGTTTGTTCTGCTGAAGTATGGCAAGTTTTAGGACCATTCTGCCAGTTGGTACACGTTACATTGCCATTGGCACAGCCTTTTTTACTTTGATTAGAGTATAGTTATCTATAAATACTCAAAATATGGAAAGAAATATTAAGAGCAGTCCATGCTCTCTAAACTAGTAGTCTTGCACAAAGCTTGCAGAGTACCCCTGGCCTTCAGCCCCCCTTCATCAGAATTGGAGGACAGAAATAACCTGTAATTCTGCTTTCATTGTGGAAATTGGAAATAGTTCAAATTTGAATGACATTTGCACTGTATACGTTACAGAAGTTGCAGCTCTTCTGATTGTTCGTTAGTATATTCTTCCTCTATCTTATTTAAAGTTTGGCCTGACTAGGTATTTTCTTCTATAAACAATCCAGAAAAAGCACATGCCCTGGAGTATTCCTATGGCAATCCCTATTGGCAACTTTAGGATGAAACTTGACTAACGTTTGTGACCTGACAGTAGATGAGCAGAGAGAACCAATCCACCAAGGTCAGGAAACCTGAAAGATTTGTGATTCTGGGGACTGTGTTCAACTCTCTAGGTTCTCTGGTTCAAGCAGAAACATGAATAAACTCATGGTTCCTATAACACAGATTAAGTCTTAAACCACACTCCGTGTTGAACAGATCTTTGTGCTGTGAAAATTTTGCAGTGTTTAGTCAGTGTCTCCCAGAGTGGAACCAGATATCAAAACCTGCTATTTTTGTTTAAAAACTACCCAACCCCACAACATTTTGACCATCTTGGTTTATATCACAGCTGTTTATTTGCTTAATCAAAATGCTTGAAAAAGTTGCATCTGTTTCTATGAGAATCTTGTTCTGTGTCTGTCTGAGGCAGCAAAAGGACAGATCCATTTGGAGCAGATCTCTGTGGCCACTGATCTCTGGTTTAATTTGTTTGCTACATATTTTGTGCATTTCTGTAGTGAACTGTCTATATTTGGTAACTGTCAAAACAGAAATATCAGAGATTTCTGCTCCCTTATATGTTACTGAAAGTCTTTACTTAGCTGTGACTTGAGGTTCCTAATTCTTTGTCCTTAGTTTTTCTGCCTCACAATGTAAGTTCACTCAGATATTTTGAGTACTTGATAGATTTTTGGCTAAATTGAAGCCAAGTGGTGAAAATAAGTATGAACACTGCTTGCTCCCCGTCTTCATTGCATCTTCCTTTGTTTCATATGGTTCTAGTTACAGAAAATAAAGGCAATGAGTGAAGAGCAGGAGTACCAGAGGCAATGCTTTGTGCTGGCTTTCCACCTCAGTCCTGCAAGCAGTTTACATGCTTATGCATGTCTCTAATGCAGCTTCAAGAAATATGATTTATAAATAGCCTTTGGAGAATTAGGCAGTCTTCATCTGATTTGATAGAACCAGTCAATCAAGGTCAAGAAACTTCAAGCAGGATTTTTATTTAGATCCTTTTAAGTAGCAGAAAAGGATTCCCCAGACACTGTAGTTGCTGTATGGTTTTTAGAACAACAGTAGCATAAGCTTTGACAGGCTGCACAAAGGGGAATTTGTCCAAGATGATGCCAGCATCACATTCTTCCTTTTGATGCTGTGACTCTCTTCCACTCTAATGACCTATTTTTTCCACACTATTGACCTATTTCGGGGGTGGGAACTTATAGTATATTTTGTGTTCCTGTTTCTTCTTATTTCTTTCCATATGTATCCAAATTAGCACAAAGAAAAACTGAGAATAAATGAATCTTTTTCTTCTTGGTCAGTAGTTACTAGGCCAGCTGAAAGGTTCCTCCACTTCCCCAAATTCTGTGATGCTGATTGCATTAAAAAATTTGAAAGTTTTGATGCTTTGAACAGTCACAGTAACAGTAATTGCAATTTTTACTGAATTCACCGGACCTTCAGCACTGAGAACTAGTGAATGACAGCTGAGACTGAAGAAGAGACTGTACTTACTGAGACTGTAAACCAGGTCTTGAGGGTTTTAGAAATTTTTAGAGAAAACAGACTAAACAAAACAATGTTTAACAGTGTTTAACAAATCTTTAAACTAAACAAAATGCAGTCTTTCCTGAATCTACTTGCACTGACTGTCACACTCTATCTCTTCGCTGCCACTTCTTCAGTTTTAAGATGATTTTCTCTAAATAGATTCAGTCTCATCTAATAAGCTTAGGTTTATCTAATTACCACCCAGGTAGGATTTACCTCTGTGAACTGCCTGTGACTCCTGTTAACTCTCCTGCTCTGAGGAGGTCCTGCCTTCCCAGGGCTTCCCTGCAGCCATTGCTGGAAGCTGGAGGAGTTGTGCTAAAACTGCTGCCTAGGAAAGTGCATGGGCAGGAGTGAGTTTGGGTGCAAACAGTGAGATAACATCACTGTCCAGCTGCCTCTGCTGAGGATGTGAGGAAGCCCTAATCCTCAGCTGCCTCAGCTGTAGGGATGGAATCTTGCTGTTGAGAGTGGCTGGCTCACTGGCATCCTTTGGAAAAGGTTCTGCTAACATAGTCCCATTCAAATTTTTTCTTTACCCATATGTTGTTGGGGGGTTTTTTTGTTTTTCTTGAATTTGGGGGGTTGACAAGCAGGGCCTGTGTAGCAGAGCAGCTCAGACAGGGCCCTTCCACACAGCCCCTTCATCCTGCTGTGTCAGAAGTTGCTTCAGCTGCAGTGGGCACTGAGTGTATTTTGATGAAAGGTTTAATATTTCTTTTAAAACTTCACGTTTTATGCTGCACGCGGGCACATTAGATTTGGAAGACAGAACTTGTCTTCTGCTTTGGTGTCAGAGTCATCAGGGGTTTTTTGTTTTGCATGGGATGCTTTTGTCTCATGGATTAGTGCTTACTGTGCAAGGTAATCCCACCCTAACCGGCTCCTTTGGTGTGCTGATTGGGCTTTTGCCATTTCAAACAAAAAGAGCTAAATTCCTTGAACGAGGGGATGTCTAATAAAGAAGTACAACTTTTCTTGTAGTTGTTAAATTTCAGTCTCCTCAAAAATGGTTAATTTGCTGTAACTTCTTTGAAGAACATTGGTATTTTCAGTAATGGGTTTGCTATAGGAAAACCCGCCAGTTCAAATGCTGTGATTCATGCAGGAAAGGAAGAACAGAGAATTTGACAGAATGCACCCATTATTAAGAAATACCTCTCTGGATATTTGGTGGTCTGAGCACCACTGCTGTGTAAGCTGCTGTAGAGCCACACAGAAGTCAGTGTCAGCAAATTTCAGAAGTTTGTCAGAGGAAAAAAAATCCAACCAAATGTTGTGGTTTGCTGCTTATAAAAGCAACAAATCCAATGTCTGTTACCTGTGTGCTGCTGGAAATGTTTGTCTTGGCTCTGAGAATGTCTCTCCATCGTTGGTGGCCCAGTTCTGTGCGGCAGTGCTGTGGTGGGTTTAGCTGGCAGGGATTATCCAGCCCTTGGACTCTCCCAGACCCTTCCCTGGACAGCATGTCCTGCTGGTCCTTGCCTAAAGTCTGGGGACAGGGAGGGGTTTGAAGTGAAGTTCAGGTTTTTAATTTCCTCACTCTTCATTCTGCTCATTGCTGAAGTTAACAACCAGGCCTCACTGCCTGTTGATCCCTCTCTCTTCTCTTCCTTTTGGAAAAGGTTACATGGGCAGTAAGACACCAGTAGAGAGAAAGAGAATTAACAGTAATCCAAAAGCTGCGTTCTGACTTAAAAGGGAATCCTGTGAGTCTCTGACTCAGTACTGATGGTGCCCCACCTCAAGCACTCCTCCTGCAACATCTTCCTGAAGGAGAACCCCTCTGCTCCTGGTTGCATGGCTTTACTCTCACTGCTGCTGCTGAGCAGGCCTGAGCACGTTACCACAACTGATTTTCCTGATATTCTAAGTCTACATAGCTGGTTTCAGGTGATCAAAACCTAGTTTGTGTGTAGCAATCACTGTTTGCAAACACCAGGTAAAACTCCCTCTGGTGTCTGATCCTCAGCTGGAGGAGTCTGGCATCACTGAGATTCATGTAACAGAATGGTTTGTCTGCAGTAACAAGTTCATAAACTGATTCCCAAAGGCAACAAAAAAATACAATATGTACATAGATAGGTTTTAAAATGTCTTTGCTGAAGTCTGTGGCACTTAACTGTTAACATGTATAGTGGATCACAGGATCAGAGCTGACATCCTGTGTTGTTACAGCACAGCTGGTTGTGCTGCTGGATGCTCAGAGGTGCTTCATGTGTGCTTGGAGAAGACAAAGTTTTCATGTTTTGTGTCTGGTTGCAGAAGTGATCTGTTGTTGACATTTTTCCAGATTCTGCTTTTGTTGCATGTGAATCTTGTAATTGTAACAAATGTATTTAAAATAGGCAATCATGTTTCTAGTCCCAGAGTGCTCAGTCACATTCTTTCACTTAAGTAAATATTTTCTTGTTTAAAATTGTATTATTTAGGAATACATTGTCAGATGACAGTTTTTAGCTGTTTAGCTCAACTCTTATTGTTTGCTTTTTCTTCTTTCCCCCCACCCCATATTTTGCAAACCAAAACACCTTTGTTATCTAGCAAGAAGTTGAGAAGTTTACAGACCTAGAGAAACTCTACCTCTACCTTCAGCTGCCTTCGGGTCCCAACAATGGAGACAAAAGGTATGTGTGTGACTGTAAATGTGAGCAGCTAGTACTGAAAACTGGCTTTACTTCCTGTGGCACTTAACTGCTGAGGATTCATTCACATCATGTGGCTGGTAGCAGAAGCAGCCTTTATTGAACATTAAGGACTCTTCCTGAAGATTAGTTGTGGGTTTTTTAAACTTTAAAATCCTTATTGCTTGAATAGCTTGTAAATATGAATCTCCTAAAATGCAAGAGTCATCACAGAAAGTGTTTCACAGTCCAAGTGTAATCGTTCCTTCGCTATTTATGTGTGAAGTGATAAAATAGCAACACAAATGTCATGGGGGGTGAAAGAAAAAACTAGTAGTATTTCTGGTAACATTTGTTTGACTAAAGGAAGGTCTACAAAGCCAACTTGCAGATCACAGCATCACAAAATTAGCATATGTTCCCAGTAGGATGGTTATAGGCAGGCAAGTGCCTATAGGAAGCACTCTAAGTAGCTACTGGGAAAGCTGGGTGTTTCCAAAGGGCAGCCGGCAAACTAAGTGGGCAAAAGCTTAGAGGTGGCCAGTAAGGAATAATAAAGTTAAGAGGGGAAGTAGAACCCTTGCCTGCCACTGTGTACTCATATCTGTACTCCACTGGAGCATGGAGTCTCTTCCTTAAATCTTGGATGAAAGGGGATAACTGCTGCCTGTGGCTCAAGAAATAGCTGAACGTGAGAGGTGTGCTGGCCCTTGTTGTCTCTGGTGTGTCTCCACCTGTGTAGGCAGACAGTTATTAAGTCTTGTAACTGAGGAGGAACTATAGAATCTTCATCAGCACTGCTTCTTCTTTCCCCAGTGATCAGATCTCCATGTCATCCAGCCGTGCCCAGCAGATGCACGCCTTCTCGTGGATACGGAACACCCTGGAAGAGCACCCTGAGACGTCCCTTCCCAAGCAGGAGGTTTATGATGAATACAAGTGAGTGCTCCCAGACTGGATCCGTGCACATGGCTTTTTAGCAAGTGTAGAGTGTTCTGTGGCACTGACCCTGCAGGTCCCCCACTGGTTTACACGGCCAGGGCCTGGTGTTCCACGCTGCTGTGCCTGAGAACACATGAGCTGCAGTGGGGCAAACTGTGTTTGTTGCTTCTGCCACTGGAGATAAGGCTGTGCTGTTTAAATTGTGCATTGTATGTACTGAAGGAAAGGTACAAGTACTTCTTAGCAAGTAAATATCTGTATGAATATTGGTTTTGTTTTGTGGACAGAGCAGCACAGGTAAAAAGCATCAGTTACTATCTTAGAATACATTTTGGTCTGCCTGTGTTTACATACATACATGACTGCCTTAACAAGGATGAGGGGCTGAATTGTTCCCTCTGGAAATGCAGCTATTTTGCACACAGGGTCTTGCCCATTACACCTTTCTTTCCAGAATAATGCATAAATATTGGACCTTCCTGCAGCAAACCTGATTTCTACAGAGGCACAATATATCTGAATATGTATGAAACCAGTAACCAAGGCCACTGCGAGTCTGTGTTGTCAAGTCTCAAAGCTACCATGTAATGAGAAAGCGATTAGAAGCAAGGGAGAGGGAGCTGTCTGATGAAAGTTGGATTTGAATTCATTTACAGAACATACCCCACGGGGGAGGGGGAAAAAATAATCATCCTCAGCCCAGTTGCCTGAAGATGAATAGCAGATTTATGATCTAGTATGAATATTTCCATAATCTGAACGATTACAGTAATTTGCAGCGAGCTGAGTCCCTTCACCTCCTGAGTGCCTACAGGACTCACCCCGTAGTAATTGTTATTGCAGGGCTGCCTTCTGCAAATACCTCCTTTTAATTAACTCTCTCTGCTCAAGTGTTTTTACCCTGATTGAGCTGAAGCATGATGGCATTCGCTTGCCTGGGGTTGATAAACATGCACACACCTATTTCTGAGGATCTTGCCATGGACTGGAGCGGTGACGCAGCCGGGAAGTGCAGCCAATGGCACCGACGTGCCGGGATGGCCAATCCCGGAGCAGCAGCCGCTCGCGCAGACACGGCAACAGCGGCAGCTGCTGTGCGGGAGAGAGGGAGATGGGAGCGTTATTCTTAAATATATTTCTTATTAAATAATTTATGGCCTGCTTCAGCAACAAATCTGCTTGGCTTCCTTGCTGTGCCAAGCTGCAGATGCCCGGAAAAATCATCATCTACAGATTGCGGAGTGTGAAATTTGGATGGCTTTGTATGTAGCTGCATCTAGTATTTGTATATTGTATTTTTTTCTTCCCCCCTAACAAAATAAGGGTGGTAAGCAAATATTCAGGAAAATATCAAATGTTTGGAATCTGTTCTCCTTTGAAAGCTTCTGTTCTGTTTTTAAAACATTCAGTTTCTTTGAATATTTTCATGAGCTATTCTTGCACACCAAAGGAAAAGTAGTCTTGGAGTGGGATGTAGGGAACAGGCATATAAATACATAAGAGTTAGTTATAAGTCATTTTTCTTTACCTAAGGGTGTTAAGATCTCTCAAACCTTATTCCATTATATTAACAGGTTACAATTTCTCTCTTCTATGTGCAGAGATGGATGTTGCATGAGCTCACAGTGAGCAAGCTTATGCACTCTGCATGCATAAATCAAAAGTGCAAGGCTTCAGAAGATGCTGCATCATACCAGCATCTTCAGTCCTGCTGTAAATTTTGGTCAAAATAAATCTTGCAAAACTACTGGCCTTCTGCATCACCTTTCATGATTTTTTTCTGTGAAGAGGGAGAGTCAGAAGCTTGCACTCCACCCAAGTTGGCAGATGTTGAGTGTTTTCAGCTCCGCCATGTCTCAGTAGCCTGTTCTCACTAAGCTTATTCAAGACAGTGACTCCTCTTTCTGCTTAGCTACTCTTCAGTTTAATTGTGAATTCATGTCTCCAACTGGATAAAAGTGAATGGATTCATCTTTCTTTTGAAAGGGATAAAATAAATTGAAAATGCATCATTAATATAAGGCAGTAGCACTTGAGGAGGCTGAGAGCTTGCAGCTGAATTTCAGAAAGGAGGTAGATGAGAGCTGGTTCACCTCTTGTTGTTGCTGTGATGCCACTTGCACTGACAGAATACAGTGACCTGCAAGAAGCTGTGTTTCTGTTGGGCACACACAGTTCTTCTGCCAGCTTCCTCTGGGGGGGAGGAATACAGGCTGGAAAGTATGGGAGCTCAAGGGGAGCTGCCTAACATGTTATCTAGCCTGCAGTGGATGGACGCTGCTTCCCATCACATCCTTTCAGTGTTTTCTTGTCAGTCACTTTTACTTGGATATCTTGTCCCTATTAGTAAACACCCTTCTGGACACAGCCAGGTGTAGATTTGTCTTTAGAGTTTAGAGATTTAAGATTTCAAGTCCAAGTGCAGTCCTGCAGTCTTTATGCAGGCAAAATCCCTATTTGCCCATAAAACGATTTGTTGAGCCTTCAGTAAACACTCGAGTCCTCTTATCTTGCTTCTGCTGCTGTGACGCGAGGGAAGAAAGTCATTCATATTTAAGTTTGGTGCCCTGAAGATTCACTTGATACGCTTAATATGGATTAGGAGGTCTTGGAGTCATCCCGTATCTCTTTCCTTTAGTCTGTAAATCATTAATCCTTGCTTTACTGGCTGCTGGGCCACTTGATGCCACCTGATGCATAGATTATGTACACTAAGTGTCAGGAATATTAACCAGCAACTTAGAGGAATACTCAGAAGCTAACACAGAAGAGGGCAGTAGGTATAGGAATACTGTGTCTACTAAGCACCTAAAGGACACAAGGTACATACAAATATTGTTTGATAGTGCTTATCCAGTGTTTTTATATAAAATTCCCTGATAGGAACAGGATGGGCTCTCTTGTGTTGCAAAGTGTAGTCTTAGGTCATAAGCAACTACCTATATATTCCTTTGAAAACCAATCAAACTTCAACTAAAGCAGTTGTTCCCACCTCTGCCCCCCGCTCTTGGGAGTCTGACCTGCAATTTCATTTCTCTGTTGGTTTTCAGACATCCGGTTTCCATCCTACCTGATTATTAGGGCTCATTTCTGTGCCAGCGTTGTTCGTCAGCTTAATGAGAGCCTACCTCTTCCTAAGGTTCTTGGTTTCTTTTGGGGACCACTTGTTTTGGTTAGAGTGGATAAACCAAGAACTTTTTGTTTCATTCTGTAGGTTTTTTATCATTTGCTATTCCTGATGGGTTTTTTTTCTGCCCAGGAAGCTGTAAGCTGGGCTGTATACCCTGACCATCTTCATTAGCTTTTGGGTTAATTTTTTTTTTTGTGGTTTAATTCAGGTGCACTTCTAGTGTTTTTTTAGGTCTGGAGTACATTCAATTCATAGATCTTACAAAAAAAAAATAAGCCTTTTCTGGTTATTGTGTAGGGGAGCTCTGTACAAAGGAACAAAGCGACCGCGTGTCCGCTGTCATTCCTGTCTCTGTGTAGACCTTCCCTCCCCCCCGTCTGTTTGCCACCCACCCTTCCAACAGCGAGACAGCTCCTGGGCTCAGCGATGTGCCAAGAGTGCAAGGAGCAGAGAGAAGAGCTCCAGGGGAGAGACTCCTGGTTTATGTTGTCAAGTCAATGAGAGACCACAGATGGACATGGAGGGTTCTCGGCCAAGCCAGGAGGGGGAGGGGCCATGTGGGATGATCTGTCTGGAAACTGAAATTCCAGGATAATACTGATAGCCCAGAAATCACAAGCTTGCAGGAGCTGCCAGTATGGATACGAGGGGACCGTGTAACTGTTTTTGCTGCTAGCAAGTGATTGTCTTACACCAGATGTGCTAGACTTGAGGAGCAGATAATTTTATTCCTATTTTATTTATTTATTTTCTCCAAGGGAGGCAGTAATTTTAACTTTGAAGTTGATAGATTGGTAGGTCCCTAAACCTGTTGTTTTGCTGGGTTGTTTTTTGGGTTTTTTTAATTTATTTTGCTGACATTGTTGAGTTTCAGTCAAAGATTCTGCTGACCCTGGCAGAGAAATTCAGAGAGCTCTCCTTTGCATGCTAGTTGAGACTTAAAGTCTTGTAATCAGCATCAGTGAGCAACAAAGACCACCTTTTAGGAATTTTCAGAGTAGAGTTTAAATCCACTGAGGCTTGGCAAGATGCAAGGGACAAAAAGCGCGCAGAGATCTATTTATCACACATAAATCAACATCTGATTCCTAAGAGGGTACAGTGAGGCGGGAGAAGAATTCCTTTGTAATAACTTCAAAGGGACATAATCCAGAATCCAGCTTCTGTGACTGACATATGTTGAAATGAAATGTGTTGGTATATAAATTGGATATGAAGCTTCTTGATGTCCCATATAGAAACTAGACCGATGCCTGACTGTGTTGTAGGCAACATGTCCTGGTTTGGACAGTGGCCTTGGTTACTGGGGTGGCTGGGTGCACACAGGCTCTGCAGGGGGTGTCAGAACCAAAAAGCATAAATGTTCCTGCTGATCATCATCACAATCATTACATCTGTGGTGGTGCTTTTCAAGGGGAGGATACCAACATACAGCCAGGGTAAAAGCAGCAGATACTTGCTCTGTAGTAACTAGCATTTTTGCAGAAAGTAAATGCAGTGGAAGTATCTCAAGAAATACATACAGCTTTCTGTAGAGCTACAGCTTGCAGAGAAGACATTTTGACTGGCCTACTTGGATGCAGATTGTTGCTGGGTGATGCTGGGGATGAAGCATCTGTTTCAGACTGCTGCTTTTTCTTTGTCTGCCTGACCTTCCAGAGGTTTGTTTGCGTGTGTGTACCTGATTATAGCAGGCAACTGTGGGGTATGAAGTCATTCTTTTTCTGCACTCCTGCTGATACCCACAGTGGATCGTGTGCAGTCACCTCTTCTTTTTAGAGGCAGGTTGTTTCTGTGTGTTGCTGGTAGGACTTCTCATGGGAAAGGAGGTCATTGCTGTCTGGTGCTGGCTCTGTGGCTGGGAAGGCTTTAACGGTGCGGTTCAGGGCAGAGCACATCAATGTCTGTGCCACAGCGCAGGGCGTTCCTGTCTTTGTGCAGCCTCAAGCCCTTGTGGTGCAGGTAAACCTTCCAGGGCAGTTCATGGTTTCCTCTTTTGTTTTATAGGTTTGTGATTTTCCGGAACATTCACCTTTTGCAGCAAAATCAATGATTTTTGTTCTCTGCCTCATGGACATATTTTTTAAATGTCTCAGATGTTGAAACAAAATTCCTTCTACTATTTTTTAGAACTGAAGGCAGATAAACTCGTTTTACTAGAATAAGTAAACTTGGCAAAATAATTACCTTTTGTTTCTTTATTCCCCTATATCATCAGGTGGTATTCTTAGCCACATGGTGATCTTCATTGGCAGCAGCAGTTGGAATCTCTGTTAGTAATATAAGGACTTATATAGGGGTGTCTGTTATCAAACATTCTCATAGTTCAGTAGTGGTACAGAGGTAGGAGGACTAGGTCCTCAGTACATGCTTGTGTTACATCTATAAAGGTGAAGCTGGTTCCCTGGGAAAGTCTGTTTTAAATGTAGTTCTCTTAAGGTCTAATTAATTGAGGTTGTATGGGCAGAATCTTTCTCTGGACACTGACATATCTGCACTTGCACTTAACTACTGCTTTTCAAATATTCTTGCAGGACTTCAGGCCTTACTACACTCAAGCTGTGCTTCTTGCTAGAACAGCATCTCTGTTTCTATTATGTCCTAAAATAAGTGAACTGAAACATATGCTTCAAACTAAGTTGTGGAGTAAATCTTAACTGTGCTCTAGATAATGCCAGTGCTTGTTATGTCTCCACATGACTTGTCTTTGAACTCAGTAAAGAACAAGGCAAAAACTATGGTATTAATAGCTCTTGTTTATACATTTTTAATGCACTCAATTCGTTGTGGATAGCTTCATTAATGTTAAATGTGATTCTAACTATGGATGGATATAAGTGTTTTCTTTTGAAAACCTTTGATGGGGTCTAGCATGTAGGCTGGCCTCTTGTATTAACTTTGATTCCATTCACGCTTTCTTTTCTTTGTTGCAGGAGCTATTGTGACAATCTTGGCTACCACCCATTAAGCGCTGCTGACTTTGGAAAGATCATGAAAAATGTCTTTCCAAACATGAAGGCCCGTCGTCTGGGCACAAGAGGCAAATCAAAATATCCTTTGCTAGAACACTTCTCAGTGACTTGTTCTGCACTTGCCTGGGGAACATCTGTCGTTATGGCTTAACTACCAGCTAAATGTGGAAGTAATGTTAAATAAAAAATGCAGACACTTTTCCAACATTCTTTAAAAATTATTAATTGTGGCAGTGTTGTGTTGCAAGATATAACTTTGGAAACAAGTACTTAAATTTAGGTTCTGACGCTCAGTTGTCACAGCAGCAAGGAATCAAAGAAGTTTTATAATTTAGTGCAAAGAGAGATATTGGAATAAAGGAACCAGAACTGTTAGTGATTTTCAAAGCAGTTTTTTCATCAGCACCAATTTTGTCTTTTCCAAGTTGAGAATTACACCTTCCCTTGAGAGTCCTTAGAAACCCTTGTGCAGTAATGTAATACCTGCTGCATTCCCCAGGGTCAGCTCTTGCTGGGTCCTGACGTGTTGGGCAGGCAAAGCCACTGCAGTAAAGCAGGGAAGGGAGAGCATGAAAAGACTAAAAGGCACTGAGGTGCTTGTAGGCTCTGATTAAAAACCACTCCAAAGAACTAACAGTGATGATAGGGATGTGCTGCAATACTGCCCTTTGCCAGGTCTCACTTGAAGCATGTGCTTATAGAGAGAATTGAATGCTAGAAGGCAACCCAGAGTTACTTGTCTTCTATAGAGGAAGAAAACCTTCCATGTTGTAGTAAATGGAGAAGATGTGTGTCAGTTAAACTGTTGCCTAAAATACAGTGTTGGGTTATCAAGCAGTGGAATCCGAAACTTAGTAGTCATGTTCTGGATAAAGCTAGAGAAGTGTTAAGGGAGAAATCATATGATGTAATTGTAGCTTGACCCAAGGGATCTCTTTAAGTTCTGTTTCCTAAGTTTCTAATATAGAATGATTAAAATATGACCTTGTCTCACACTTACTGTAATACCCAGGCTCCTTACATTTCTTTTACTGTAATCATGCTCCATCCAGGTTAATGCAAGCAAATGCAAACTCCATGGTCTAGGAAAGAGAAATACAAACATCTTTACAGAATGTGAAAAATTAGTGATTCTGAAAAGGATTTGTGTGTCACAGAGAAGAGACACCATATGTGAACTCCCAGAGTAGTTCTGTGGAGAGTTAGAAAAAGGCTGATTTGATATTTAGACCTATAAACGAGTGCAAAGAATGGAGGGAGTGTATTTTTGTGTACTGATTTGATGGGATCAGTCTGGGTCTTTGTGTTCATATTTTTACAGAAGAAAAATTATCACGGGGAGAGAGTGCCTCAAACATTGTGTGAAATCTTAGGAAGACATGCCCTCATCAGACACTTTATCCTTGTCATGGGGAACTTCATGTGGAAGTAGTCCTTTAGGAGAAGGAAATAAAGTAGGTCCTAAATTTGGGACTGCGTATTTTAATAGTGATTAACTTTTGGAAATTGATTCTCCCATCCTGTTTTAGGAAGAGAGCTTAGTCCAAATTTATGTTAATGATTTGAATATTGAGTAGCTAATTGAAACTGCTTGGCCTGGTTTAGTCGTTGTTCTGTGTGATCAGGTGCAGTTCATCACACCCAGCACCTCTGCACAGATGGAGAAACCCAAGGACCTGCCCAGAACACAGCCACTGACAGGCCTTTGATTCTGGCTGTGAGACCATGTTAGTGACAGTAATTCTTAGTTCTGTGTTGAGTTTGCTTATAAAGCTTATGAGAGTTATCAGAGAAATTACTGCCCTTCCCTCTCATCTCCCAGTTAACAAGGACACAATTTAAACCTTAATTGTTGTTCACATATTGCTACAGTGGACTGAGGAAGAAGGCTTTTGTGCATATGCCAACACTGCCCAACCTTGACTTTCATAAGACTGGAGATGGGGTATGATACATATTTGCTTCTTTCTATATATATATATGTATATTTCTGAAAATTAACATTTATTACACTGTTTTTCTTTCTGATGTTTTCAAAACAAAGTGAAGAGCTGTGTAGCTTTTAAGATTTTTCTTTATGATCCTTATATTCTGAATCATTGTTTGCTGTTTTTTCTGTACAGTGCTATTAAACTAATTCAGGAGGTGAAGCAGACTTCCACAGTTTTGCCACCCATAAGACATGATTCTGTTTTGATTTTACTGTTGTTTTTTTTTATTTTTTCAAGTCAATGCTAGGGAAGAGATATCCCAGTGAAAGAAGCAGATCCTGGGTAGCAGTGACTGCTGAGTTGACAAGACTCTGGATACAGGGAGCATCAACTGTTGGTGGTCCAGATACTGGGACTCTGTTTGCGGTTTCTTCCAGAGGTGTCAGCTCCATCTGATGTCTTTGGAAACAACCACTAGATTTAACACTGAGACATTTAATTTTGTATTACATTGATGTGATCTCATTCTCTCAACTTCATGAAAAACCGTGAACATACTTAACTTTTTCTGTGATTCTGATGATTGTTTGCTCTGTTTTTGTTTTTGTGCCTCAATGACCCTTAATAATCAAAGTAACCTTTCCTCCTTTGTTTGTTTGTTTTAGTTGGATGGAGCAGAGCCATCTGGGCAGCTGCAGAGTGCTGATGAGGAAGTCATCTCTGCGGCCTGCCGGCTTGTTTGTGAATGGGCCCAGAAAGTGCTGAGCCAGCCTTTTGACACAGTCTTGGAACTGGCTCGTTTCCTTGTAAAAAGTCACTATATCGGTACCAAGTCCATGGCAGCTTTAACAGTAATGGCAGGGGCACCAGCAGGTAATGAGATAATGCTCAATTGTTGAGATGGGGGATCTTTCTATTAACAGTAGAAACATCTTGGTTTGAGGAGGGGCTTCTCTTCAGGGCAAACTTTAAACATGACTCTGAGCGTTGAGCATGCAGTTATGTGATTTAGGTCACATTGCTGCAAATCACTCTTCTTGCTGGTACTCTGGGTAAAGATGTGAAAATCAGCAGCGGTCTCAGGTTTAGTCTGTGATTTTCCCATTTCTCCCATGAGGAACCTGGTTTTTTAAAGCACTTTGGGGCGTGTGAGTACTTGCTGAATTTATGTACCTGGCTAGATCAGGAGTTTGGTGCTGCTACAGTGCTGGTTTGTAGACAGACTGCTGGTGTAGCTGTGTTTCTGTCTGATACCTTGCCCTAATTTGGAAACAATTGTCTGTCTTAATTTTCTGTCAAGAGCAGATTTTTTTTTGTGTGGTTTGTTTCCTTCTGCATGCTCAGAATGAGTCACCTAATCATCTTAAGTGTGTTTTGGTGGCTGTGGATGAAGTAAATGACAAAAATAAAGGATGAGAAGGGAAATGCAGGGGCACAACATGCCCCCAGACTTGCCTCTGGAAAGTACTGCCTAGGCCTATCAAGCAAAATATGTTCAGATCACAGTTCCTAAGCAGTGCTGAGCATCTAAAACCAAATACTTGGGATTAGCATTAGTAAAATTAGTAACGTAGTAAAATGATGCTGATTAATTTATAATTAGGAGGTATTTTAAAACTGTGTAACCTCAAAGTGTAAATGAAACAATGTTAAAGAATTTTTAGAGGGGCAGTTCAGCAAGGTTATTTGGTCATTGAAAGAGCATGCTATTCCTTTTGACTGTTAACAAACAAAGATCATAATTGTGATGTGATTTTGTAAAAGAAACTAGTACCAGCTGCACTGTTTTTCTCCCTGGAAGCACCACTTGCTTGTGATCAGCAAAGTAATTTCTCCAGAAAAAAATGTTCTCCCATTCTAATTTCCATAGTTCTTTCAACTTTCCCTTCTTCTCTTTTTTTTTTTCCCTGGACACTTCTCTTCTTGCCCTTCTTTCACCACTATCCCTGACCACACAGAGGTTTTGATCCATTCTGATATTAGATGCATTGTATTTAATGCCTTGGCCATTAGATAGTATCATCTGCTCAGAGCTGCTCCTCTGTGACTTTCTGGAAACATTTTTCATTTAAAGATGCCTTAGACACAAGTAACAAAACAAAACCGCAGCAGATAATGGATTTTAAAGATTTATCTGAAACGTACCCGCCGCCCTCTGCTGCCAGTTTAGTGAAGTGCACTGGGTTGAGATTTTGCTGACACAGAAGTTGCCATTTGGGATTACTAGAAACAAAAGGCCGGTACTTTAGTATTTTAGCAGCTAATGCCCAGCTTGTCTAACAGACTTTGCCACAAATGTGGAAGTAAACTGTGGGTGGGAGTACCTCATGAAGGAGATGTTCCCAGAAAGGTTGTGGAGGTGCCTGCCATGTATTCTATGTTGTTAAATACAGAAGTGGCAACACAGCAGACAGGGTATGTTTGGTTCTAATTCATCCTTCTTCTTTTCTATTCAGGAATAAAAGGGATCCCCCAGCCCTCAGCTTTTATACCTACTGCTGAAAGTAATTCCTTTCAACCACAAGTGAAAACTCTGCCATCTCCTGTTGATGCCAAGCAGCAGCTGCAGCGTAAGATCCAGAAGAAGCAGCAGGAACAGAAACTGCAGTCTCCTTTGCCAGGAGAGTCTCCAGCAAAGAAAACTGAAGGTGCCACAACCAACGGTGTGACCAGTATATCTAATGGAAGTCCCGCCATCCTGTCTCCTCCACCTATTGGCATTGTTGTGGCAGCTGTCCCCAGCCCCATTCCGGTAATGCTCTCCAGCAATTCTCTAGAGAAACCACCTGATGAGAAGGTTGTACACTGACAGTAACTAAGTGGTGTCAGAGGGCTAGAAGAACAGTTTCTGTTCAAAGGGTCCCTTGATGCTTTTCTGTCCTGGCTGTGTTATACACATGAGTCACAGGATGGATATGGAGGCATCAGAATTGTGATCACATAGCAAAGGCCAAGTTTGTCTTTGAAGTCATTGTGACAGGGGGATTTAAGCTAGATGAAGTTTAACCAGGTGAGAGAGCTGACACCAGTTGTGTGAGTCACTGAGGTCTTAATATGGAATCTAAATTGCCTTTTATTGGCCCACTGCATTTATTGACAGCTACAATTTTATTTTTGAGTGAATGTCTGTAGTATGGAACATTTTTGTCTTTCGGCCATACAAAACTGGGCTGGGCAGTGGGGGAAGCTTGGTTGTTTTTCAGATGTTCACTCTGCTGTTGATTTCCACAGGTAAGCCAGTTTTTCTGCCTGATAGTTTGTATTTAACTCACTTTTGAAACCTTAACAATGAGCAGTGTTTTGAACACATCCTTTCCTCTTCAGCCTTTGTATGTCTGTCTTTTTGTCCCACGTGGTAAAGGATTTTATGAGAATGCCCCTTTCATTGGAAGAAGTGCAGAGTAGTGTGTAGACCAATGCCCTGTGCCTTAAAAATAGAGGTTACATATCTACCAGTCTTTAGGCAGACAAGTAGAAAATGTCTTGTATGTAGCAGAAGAGCTTATTTTGTTTCGAGCTGACATTCACTGGCTTGGGTGATTGAGTTGTGTAGTCCTTCACCTTTGAAATGCTTGGGGCCGAGGTGGTCCATGGGCTTTGGGGACTTGCTGCTTCAATGCCACACCTGTTCTTTTTTCCTCTGTCCAGGTGCCAAGGACCAGGCAGTTGGTGACGTCTCCAAGTCCTATGGGATCGTCTGATAGCAAGGTCCTGCCGCTCAACGTTCAGGTGGTCACTCAGCACATGCAATCAGTCAAGCAGCCACCAAAGACTCCCCAGAACGTTCCCGCCAGCCCCGTCGGGGACCGCTCTGCCCGGCATCGCTACCCGCAGATCCTACCGAAGCCAGCAAACACCAGTGCTCTCACCATCCGCTCTCCCACCACGGTGCTCTTCACCAGTAGCCCAATCAAGACTGTTGTGCCAGCTCCACACGTGAATTCCTTAAACGTGGTGAAAATGACAGCAATATCTCTCGCCCCGAGCAGCAGCAGCGTGCCCGTCAAACAGACGCCTTCGGTCAGCGGTAGTGCGGGAGCAGCGGAAGAAGGGCGGACTGGTCCTCAGATCAAAAATGGGTCTGTGGTTTCACTTCAGTCTCCAGGATCCAAGCCTAGTACTGTTGTAGCTGCTCCTGCAGTCAAGATCAAAATGGAACCGGAAGCATTGCTGGATGAGAACTCAGTACAGGGCCAAGAGAGTTCCGATGTGTCTAAATCCATAAAGGCAACCCCTGACCTGCCTCCTGCACAGCTAATTAATTTTGAGGTTGCAGCCTTGAAGGTTTCAACTGATGATGTCATGGAGGCAAAACCAGGTAAGGGCTGTGATCAGGGAGCTGAAGAAGCAGGGACCAAATATAAAACACAACCTAATGAGATCACACCAGTTTCTTCAGCAGGCAATAATCAAAGCACTCTTAAGCTCACAGTTGCCAGTCAAAACTTGTCCAGCACCAGCATCAGTTCACCTCCTTCTGGTGAGTCTACGATTAAAGATAAAACATGCACTAAAAGTCCAAGAAAGAGACAACCTTCCACAGTTCAGGATTCCCAGGTACCACCTGTAAAGAAACCACTAGTGGAGCAGTTTTCAGCTGGTAACGCTGTGGAGAGTCAAAAAGCAAACAGTGTTAAGAAGGCTCTGAAGGTTGGATCACTAGCTAACAGTGACAGTACAGCAACACTTGCTCAAGTCCCCAGCACGGTACCCGTGACAGTACCTGTACCTTCTGCAGCTGCAGCAAACTTAGCAACAGACCTTTCCTTAAACAGCACCAGTTTAAATACGAGTGATCCTACTTTAGAACAGCAGCTTGCATCAGCATCATCTCCAGATATAAAAGTAAAATTGGAAGGAAACTTATTTATCATAGAAAATGATTCAAAATCTGATGGCAGCTTTAACCCAAATACATGGCACCATATCACCAAAACCTCTGACTTTGCATCTGTGAATTGTGATCAGCAGCAAGATATCAGTGTTATGACTATGGCTGGGCACTCTGGCTCCAGTGACTTGCAGGAATCTGCGTGGGAGCCGGTGCACTGCGAAGGGATACAGCAGGATGTGTACAGCCAGCAGCTACAGAGCCAGATCCAGGACTCCTTGAGTCAAATACAAGCACAGTCTTCAAATCAGTTACCTCTGCAGTCCGAGCTGAAAGAGTTTGAGCATACAGTCCCTCAATCAAATGAAAACTTCTTTTCATTTGATGATGACCTTACCCAGGACAGCATTGTGGAGGAGCTGGTGCTCATGGAGGAGCAAATGTCCATGAATAATTCCCATCCTTATGGTGGTTGTCTAGGAATGGCAATTCAGAGTCAGACTGCAGCTCAAGGAGCTCCCGTGTCATCTCACCCAAGCAACACGCACTTTTACCATTCGATCCACAACAACAGCACTCCAATTCACACTCCCACACCCACCCCCACCCCCACTCCCACCCCCACTCCGACTCCAACACCCACCTCTGAAATGATTGCTGGATCTCAGAACATGTCGAGAGAGAGCCCTTGTTCGAGGCTGGCTCAGACGACTCCCGTGGACAGTGCTCTGGGGAGCAGCCGGCACACGCCCATTGGCACACCACACTCAAACTGCAGCAGCAGTGTCCCTCCCAGTCCTGTGGAATGCCGAAACCCGTTTGCATTTACTCCCATCAGCTCCAGCATGGCTTACCACGATGCCAGCATTATATCAAGCAGTCCTGTGAAGCCAATGCAGCGGCCTATGGCGACCCATCCCGACAAAACCAAGCTGGAGTGGATGAACAACGGCTACAGCGGTGTGAGCAATTCCTCGGTCGCAAACCACGGCATCCTCACGAGCTACCAGGAGCTGGTGGAAGATCGCTTCAGGAAACCTCACGCCTTCGCCGTCCCCGGCCAGTCCTACCAGTCCCAGCCGCGCCACCACGACACTCACTTCGGCCGCGTGACTCCGGTGTCGCCTGTGCAGCACCAGGCAGCCCCTGTCAGCAGCACCACTAAGCAGGAGGGCTTTGCTGTGCCTGCTCCCTTGGACAACAAAGGAACCGGTTCCTCTCTCAACAACAGCCTGAGATGCCGGAGTGTGAGCCCTGCTGTCCATCGCCAGCGCAATCTCAGCGGGAGCACTGTTTATCCCGTGTCAAATATACCACGCTCTAATATGACACCCTTTGGAAGTCCAGTAACTCCTGAAGTTCACAATGTATTTGCTAATATCCATGCAGACACCAGTGCCAATAACATAGCACAGAGAAGCCAGTCAGTCCCCTTGACTGTGATGATGCAGACGGCCTTCCCGTCTCTTCAGAAACAAACAAACACTAAAAAAATAACAAATGTGTTGTTAAACAAACTTGATTCTGATAGCGATGATGCAGTGAGAGGTTTGGGAATGAACAACATGCCCTCAAATTACACAGCCAGGATGAATCTCACTCAGATTTTGGAGACATCCGCCGCTTTTCCTAGTGCCAACCCACAAAGTATGATCAATTCCAGCACTTCAGTTTATGAATTCCAAACACCAAATTACCTCACAAAAAACAGCAGCACCGATCAGATCAGTTTTTCTTCTGGAGATAACCAAGCACAATCAGACATCGGAGAGCAGCAATTAGATTTTAGCAGCACTGTAAAAGACCTTTTAGGGGAGGACAGTCTGCCAACAAACCAGCAGCTGGTGAATCAGGTGGCATCAGATCTCAATAACGTTGCATCTGTCTTTCCCAGCGACATCAGGTTGTCTTCCGAGCTCTCAGGCAGCATTAACGATCTGAACACTTTAGACACAAATCTACTGTTTGATCCAGGTCGTCAGCAGGGACAAGACGATGATGCTACACTGGAGGAATTAAAAAATGACCCCTTGTTTCAACAAATCTGCAATGAATCCATTAACTCAATGACTGCATCAGGTTTTGAGTGGATGGAGAGTAAGGATCATCCTGCTGTTGAAATGTTGGGTTAATCTTGTTTTATAATATGTATGTAGCACACTGTATCTAAAAGACAGACGTATTGTATTTGTCTTAATGGAAGTGCCTCCTGCAGCAGAAACACTTGCTATGTATTATGGCATTTTAAAAAAAGTTTGCTGTACCTGTTGCTCATTCTTCAGCAAGGAAAAGGCAGTCTTACCAATTTTAAACAAATCTCTGAAGGTGATGGGCTATCAAAGAGCCAGTATTAAAATTTGAACTTTATAGTGTTTCCCATTCAACATTTCTTGTTTTAGCAAATAAAGAAGTGGTTAATGGCCAGCCAGCAATGACAGCTATGGTTGATGCTCTGGGGGGGTTTGAAGTCGAGCTCTTTAGTAGGCTTTCCATACCTTGTACTGGTTGTTACTTCTTAGTAGATGATCCTTACTGACCTTTGTTGTTCAGGTTTGAAATGCAGGGTGCCTGCAGGTAGGTAGGGGTGGGGAGTGGGTACAAGTGGACCAGGTGACTTGCAGGTGCCTCATCATTGTGTAGCTGTCTGGAGCACTGCTCAGTGGTGAACTGTGGGAAATCTCTGTAGCACTGGTGCCATTGGCATCTCTCGTAAAACACAGGGATGGGAAAAGCTAACGGGGATGATCAAGGAAAGAAAGATGCACTAAATTTTTTTATTTAAGAGAAATAAATCTATGTAGTTATTTTATCCATTAATATCCATTACATACTTGATATTTTAGTTCTTACATCAGTGTTTTTATACTAGGTAAAATTCATGCAAAAAGATTTTAAGCACTGAGATTTAATCTAGGCATAACACCCTATTTTAAAGTGATAGGTACTGTTTATCAATGCTAGAGAAGGAACATATTTTCCCTCTTTTTTTTTTAAATAAAGAGCTGCTGGAGCTCATTAAAATATTGTTTTTAAAGATTGGTTTATTCACGTTTGCTCTTTCCTCACCTAGTGGAGGGTGTAGGAAGATGTTATTTTCTCTGTGTTTCAGTAGGTTGAGCCTTTCTGTCCTTCTTGCTCACTCTCCCTCAAACAAAAGATTATTAAAATATTAGAAAATGTGGTTGATCTAAAAATATTTCATACAGAGCCATAATACTGCCAGGCACTTTACAGATACACAGTAAGACGTGTTTTTTCTTTTGGTAAAACTTCTTTTAAAAGTGCTTACTGTTTTAGAAGCCTGAACTCCATTTTCAAAAGTGATTTGACAGGGTTGGTGAATCTAATTTTTTTAAGTCCTTAGCTGCCCCTCTGGAAAATGAGAATTAGACTTCTGCCTCACTAGTTCACTTGAACCAAAAAAGACCTTTTATTTTATCAGCATGGTGTGGATCTCTCTGATGATCAAAAGAGAGAGGTACTTAACCAGCCATGGCCCTGATGCTAGAAAGAGGACTTGCAGAGGCAGGTTTTTACAAAAGAAGTGGTGCACTTAGTATGCCACAATACCATCCCTTAAGCAGAAAACTGAGCAGGAAAAATTTTCCTCATTTGCATTACTTTGAATGAGTGATCATGAATTTGTGAAGGGGAGGTTCAGTAACCCCACCATAGATTTCCTTAAGGGAATGATGTTCATATTTTTCATGTGATTAGTGTTTTCCTACAACTGTCTTGGTGGTCTTCTGTTTCTTCAGTTTTTGTGAATGACTCGAGATCCCAGTACTGGTCAGATTTTTGGGCGGTGCTGATACAACTTGTGCTGCTGCATTGGCACTGGAGGTGCTCTTGCTCTTGCCCCAGTTCATCACCAGTCCGTGGCCTCTTCTGCAGGGACAAACAGTTGTGCCAAGCTATAGCACCTTATTGAGGGCCTGATTTCACTGTGCTCGCATCAGAAGTTTTGCCACTTCATCGGAAACAAACTCGGAGAGTTCCGATCCCTCCTGGAAGTGCGGGGATGTGTGATAGTGTGTGTTGCTTTAAGACCAAGTGACTCTTTTAAGTTTTGTTAAAGAAATGGGGAGGAGACTAAAAGCTGTGTGGTAGCCTTCTGCTTGTTATCCTGCCAGGTGTCTGTCAGTAAGACCTGAACCATTTTTCTTGTAGACTGAAGTTGCTGAAGGCAGGGCTGGAGTACTGGACCCGCCCATGGCCTTTTGCCAGAGCTGTGCTGCACATCCTCTCTCCCTGGTTGAGAGGATGGGTCTGAGAGACACTCAGCACCATTTTGTTTCTGTTTCCTGACCCTGTGTGAAGTGCCAGCACTACTGTGAATAGGTGAAACCTACTCTGATGGAGGGGGGAGGGTCCCTTCCAGCTCAGCAGATTCTCTGATTCCGTGACCCGAGCCCTGCGCTGTGGGGAGAAGCTGCACAGGTGCTGCTCAGCCCCACCTCGGCTCACTCACACCGAGACTGAGGGGGGCCTGGGGGAAGAAGGGTTTTGCCCAACTACTAGTTTTTTTTACAAAGATTTCTCAGAAAAGCGAGAGTAGATTTAAAGCTGATGCGTTCTAAATTATGCAGCCATCACCAAAGGTTTTTAAAAGTGCGTTTAAAATGATTTTTAAATACAAGCGTTACATTGGGCCTAACGTGACTTAATTAGCAGAAATACTCTATAATCAGTGGGTTTAAAGCAAAAGTACGTTTAGTTTAAAAAGTATTAAATTCTATAAGAATTGTTTCAAGTAAAATCCAAGGCACAGGCACAGCTTTGTACATTGGTATGTATCATTCTAGAGATGTTTGTGTGTTGGTGTTATAATTAATGTTAGGTCCCTGTACTTAGTGCTAGTTAGTTCTTTACAGTACATTGAGACAGAGCACTACTGCACACCAAAGTATGCAATACCCAAAGGAAAATTCTGTGATTCTAACAAATGGAAGCCTGTCTTTGTCAGATACTCTAAAACTTAAGAATTTGAGACAGTTCTGACCCCTTGTTTACATTATTGGCTTCCTACTAACATGAGAAATAAATTATTTTGATAGCAGTTTTTGCTAAAGTATACAAACTAGTGAATTTGTACCCTGTGTACAGTATTGCAGCAAACACTTTAAATTTGGTTGCTTGGTTAGTCCAGCAAACTTTCTGGGTTCATATATTGCACTAAAATTCTGTTGAACCTGTGGCAGGCACATTCCTTAGGATAAATGCAACAAATACGGCCCACAGATTAAAAAAAAAAAAGGCAAAACAAAAAAAAAACTTTTTAATGTGTTTCATTATTAAAAGGCAAAATGTCATTAAAAGTGACAGGTGAAATTGTCTTATGTAGCAATGTGCATTGATCTCAATGAGATATTTCTATTTTTGATTCTCTTACATGAGAATATTGCAGCAGGAAAAATTAAGTTTAGTTTGCTTCACCATGTTAATACATGATCACAAAACGTGCATGAGTGTTAATGACTTAATCTTGTACAGTACTAGATATATTCCTGTAACCACTTTTATTTTTTTTATTCTTTTGCTGTATTGAAGCTGGTTCAGTGTTAACCAGGTGAGCATAGTTATTCACAAGTTATTTACTTTTTTATGTTAACTAATTCAGCTTAGTTATTGTTGAATATGTTCCTTTCTTGGATTATTTTTTATTGTTCTGGTGTTGAAAAACATTTTTGCATCATTTTATCATGATAAGAATTCATGAAGTAAATAATTTGCAAATAATTGCAATAAGCACTGACTTCTGAACTGAAAAGAAGGAAAGCGTTTCTTGTGCAGTGCATCTGAGGTTCATATAATAGTCTTGTACTATACTGTGCTTTATTTACTGCACCGTAAGGAAAGAAAAATCCCTGTTCCACATTTTCATTTAGTGCAGGAAATCCAGTTTCTCCCCTCTTCCCCGGTGTTTTGTTGTCTGTTGTACTGCTGAAACTACAGTAGTTGAATATTGCAGTAGCATTTCAGTTATTTTTTTTATTGAAAGTGCTCAAAAATTGTTTTTTAAATGTTTTCAAAAACAATAAAAACATTTTATATTAAAATTATTTCTGGAGTTTTTTCTTTACATGGAAAATGTGCTTTTAAGTCTGACCTAAAATACACAGTTCTCTAGTTTGTGTGATGACAGATGAGAGCTGCCCAGTTAAACCAACTTCCTGCAGTTGCTGAGCCAAGTCACACACTTCAAGCTGAGCGTGAAGGTGAATCTTCCTCTCTGGGGTGCCTTGGGTGGTCTGTCTTAGGGTCCAGGTGTTGGTTCCATGCCTTGTGATGGCTCTTGCTCTTGTGACACAACAACCCACTGCTGGTGTTGCCTGGTTTTGCTTTCCCATACTAGTAAGGCATTCTTAAACTGCAGTGTTACAATGTGGCTTGGCTTGCTGACATAAAGGGGAAAATCGATGTTTTGATCTGTGGAGTCCTTTGTTTGGATTGTAAAATTGTATGTGAACCCAGCACTGTTGCCAGCACAGTCTGTATGGATGGGATTTTCCAGTGATGGAAAAGCATTGGCACAGAGCATAAACTGGCCACGAGAAAATGGGTGAGGATAAATATTCAGGTTTTCATGCCAAAAAGGTAGCACTGTTTAACAGATTACATCCCAGACTACAGAGGTGCTGAGATGAGCTGGCAGATTTGATGGTGGCACAAAATCACTTAGGTTCATCAACAAAGAAAAAGAATTCTCAGGGAGACATGAGATAACATAAGTGAAAGAGAATCAGACATTAATTTGGAGGAAATGCTATTAATATATCTCACTGGATTCTAAATTAACATGCTTTACAAAGAGTTCTCAGTGAAAAATTCAGAAACACAATTTCATGTTCCACAGTCACAAAAAATGCAAATTAAAAACTCCCAAGGAATGAGATGGAATATAATGTAGGAGATATAAAAGGCTATATTAGAAATTTATTGTTCATCTGAAATAATAACAGGTTTTAATTGGAACCTCTCAGCTGCAGGCTGGAAAGAATTTGCCTTAATGTTTAATAAAAACGGTCAAAAGAGCAAACAAATCTGTAAATGGGAATGTCCTAGCAGGAAAGAATTAAGAAGATAGGAATGTTGGAACTAAAGGCTTCAAAATGTTCAATTGGTGAGCTTTGTAGGTTTCTAAAGATTAGACGCTTACTTCCTTAATAAAGACATCCAGAGGAAATTCTAAACAATTGCTTTGAAATATTTTTACATCTCCAGAAATACAAATCTGTATATATGAATGCAGCTGGTACTCTGGTAACAGAATTGCACTTCTAATGTGAAAGGGATTCTTGTGTCAAATTAGCTGGTGGTTCGTGTCGTTTCAGGTAATTGGTACCACTGTCTTCTCCAGAGAAAGAAGCCCTGCATTATTAGGTGGTTGCAGAGTAAACTGCCTCTGTGAAGGTTTTCTGCTAGACCCAAGAAGTAGAAGCTCTGTCTGAAGCTGGAGCAGTAGAGGGAGTACAGGGAGCTGGGTTAGGACACCTCTGGAGCTCCCTTACAACCTCACTTTGGCAGCATGTGCAGCAAGGCTGGAGGGTTGAGTAAACCTAACTGGATCTGACTATGTAGCATGGCTGCTCTCATTCAGGTAAAGTTTAAGTATAATATTTGATGGCTATCAGATTCATTTGACAGCAAACTTGTAATTATCTAGGCGTCCTCTGATGTGTTAGGTCAGAGTTAACCAGTGCTTGGATCTTGCTGCCCTCATCCCTTTCTTAAAAATGATACAAGTTAAGCTTGGGCAAGGAGACAAAATAGAAAAAAAAATGTATAGTGAGGCTTACAAATTGTGGAGAAACTCTGGAAAGTGATTCCAAACTTAAGGAATGAGCAGTGACCTGACTGTATGCTTAAGGTTTTTCTGAGTTGGGGATCCACATAACAGTTAAAAATTACCTTGCATGTGCCCAGGCCTGTGCTGTCCCTGTGTTGTGTTGTGTTTATCCCCTTGCTGCAGGGAAACCTTGGCCAGGTCACCAAAACAGAGGAGCCTGCAGGCAGCTCCCACTCACTGCCAGCGGTGATGCCACTTGAGTGTCCGTGCCTTTATCTGAAAGAGCAGCAAGAAGTTCTCATGTGAACATTCCTTCTGCTTGAGCTTTGAAGTGATGAGCAGAGTTGTTTTCTTGTGAGAAAATCCTGTAATAGCTCAAAGGACTGAAATGCCTTCCACAGGCAACATCTGCCTGTAGCTCTGAGGCCCATTCAGTGCTGCACAGTTGGGGGATCTGAAGGGATGTCAGACTGTCTACACTGTCCTCTCTTGCTTTGTAGTGCTCACTCTAGCAAAGGGCATTTTGTGCATTACTTCACAGAATCTGAGCACCTTTGTTACTGCTGTTATAACAAACCAGCACCTCCTAGTGCATTGTTAACATTAGCTGATGAAATTGCAAATCTTTCAGTCTCTTTTGCTCTTCCTACTCAGCTTGGTAAAAAAGGAGAAAAGGGTGAAATAAAAACTAAGCAAGACCAGATCAAGTAAGTCAGAGGTGAACTGAGGACATGGAAAAATTTGTTTAGAAAGGTAAAAAGACAGCAGTTTCATGCAGATTACAGTGTTTAAATACCCCAAATAAAAGACCACCTTGATACAATGCAGAATACATAACCAAGTGATTATAGTTCCTGATAGCTCACAACATTCCTGCTATGTGCTTTGGATATATCCTATGTGCTTTAGGAGATATCCTACTAGTGATGTAAATACTCAGATGTGTTGGAACATTTGCATATCTATTGTCATGCCTCCTCCTGAGTCTGTTCTTCCTGGGCCTGCCTACCCATTTCTATATCTGGTAATACCTCAGCTCTGTAATCATTAAAAAGGTTCATTTTTGTCCCTGTGGCTCATCTTTTCTCTGCTGTCAGCTTCCTTTTAAATAACCTGCTTTTCTATGGATTAGGGTAAGTTATATATCATTGGAAGTTTGCCTATCCACACTACCTATTTAGGTGATGCCTGTTAGAAGAAAATTTTCAGCCACAAACCCACACACTTCTTCTAGCAAGCTGTAAGAACAATTTACTCATCACTAATAAGTATCCTTTTACAGCTGTACATCCTTGACAGTCATCCTGTTTATTAGGAGTACTTTCTTATGAGATTACTTTCTATGCCAGCCAGACCTGAAGATGTGTGGACACTTCTTGGATGGTGTGCTATTAAGTGTAGTTTGGCCTTATCAGTAATTATTTTCCAGTGACAACACTTTCAAGATAACTGGAAGCCAATCAATGGACCAAAGATGACACATTGGAAATCTGTGTCCTCAAAAGTATTTGAATATTAAAAAACCCTCAGAAGTAGTTCAAACCAAACAATAATGACAACTGTTTACTATTCCCAGTTTCCTAATGAAATGAGAGAGACACTATAAGAAGGAGCATCTTGTGTGAAAATGAGATGTGGAAAGATGGGAGTGCATGAGGGATGCTCCAAGTCAGAACAGTAGCTTCCACTGGTCTTATTGATGTTTTAGGCACTGACAAAAAGCAAATAGCACGTACTACTTCATACACATATGGAGAATGATAATTTCAAGGTATTTAAAGAAGAAAAACCCAATTGTGTCATCCCCGGAAAGATCTTACTTCTGTAACATTGTGATGGGTTGAGCTGTTAGCAAAAATATCCACAATTACCGTGTTAACCATGGGATCACTGGTGGATAATTAATCTGGGAACAGCATGACAGCAGTTGACTGGAGCTCAGCACCTCCGGGTTTCTGTTCTGGCAGCTCTCCTCCCCCTCAAGCTGAAAATAGGGAGAGAAAGATGACATCTGAGCGGTGGTGATTCAGACAAGTGTTTACCACTTCATTCAAATGCATATGCACAACATGAGTGTGACTTTCCACCTCCACTTCAGTTGCTCTTCTTACTATGCAAGTTTGCTCATCAAGACAGAGAAATTTCCAAAAGAAATTGCTTGTAAACTGTTATACCAGTCACAGAAATTAGGAAAAAACATTTTTTATATCTTCCCCTTCTCACAGCTTTCCTTTGGGAGAGCTGAAAATCTCAGCAGCTTTCCTGGGAGACAGGGACTAGGGAGCTGGCCCAGGGCAGGTGTTAATGCCTTGGGAACACAGACCCTCGCTTGGAGAGCAGTGTTAAATTTCGTCTGCAGTTTGCCCTGAAAATAAGCTACTTGAGTGGAGAATTTCTGATGCACATCTGGTCTGTCCCTGGGTGATGGTCACACCTTGCTGTCATCCTGAAGGGACAGGTAGAGGTGCAGGCTTTGAGACAGCTGGAGGCAGCGGCTTGGCTGCAGGCAACCCACAAAGCACACATATCCAAACAGAAGAGATGTTGCTTTTAAGGGAAAGAAGAAAAGTTGAGGAAAACAGAAGCTGTGACCTTGGAGAATTGAGAATGAAAAGGAGCAGGAAGGGGCTGTTGAAAACCTGAGTGTGAGCTAACCCAGCCCAGTTGCAATGTGATGCAGAGACAGCTGCCAGGCTCTGTGGCTTTTACCAGACTGAAGTTCTTGCTTCCAAAAGTTAGGCCTTCATCTTTGTCTCAGTTTTGCATCTTGTTACTGTGGTGTTTGAAATCTAGTACTAAGAAAAGGATCTAGCATGTATTTGGACATAACAGTAGAACCAAGAAGAGTGTTAAGTCTTGGGCTTTTAATTATTAGTCTCATTAGTGAGTCACTGTCATGATAGTAGAGAAATTGAGATTACTGGGCTACCAATAGGTGTTTACTTCTCTTAGTCATAGCAGTGACTCACTAGAAATACAAATTTTTTCCATTAATTCACCATTGTATGCAGTTTTCCATTTACCTGTCACTGTGACATTGTGAAGGCTTCACAACATTTTCTATTGTATGACTCAGTAGAACAAAAGACAATAGGACAAAAATCTGTTTCCTCCATTTGCATCCATTTTTTTGTTTAACTGCAGTTAAAATGACTTGTGATTCCTCTCGTTTAAAGGAAGACCAGTGAAGATAATGTATCCAATTCAATTTAAAATCCTCTGTAGCAAAAGCACATCCTATATTTAGTAACATAAAACATCCTTTGATGTCAG